GTGATAGGAGGCTTGCTAAAAAAATTCTGGCTAGCTCTCCTCAAACTACCACAGGAAATRTCAGTCAGTTTTCACCCTGAAAACATGAAGTGTGAAAAACTAGCTATCTGGGGAGAACCAAGCTCACACTACTGTCTACTAAGATCAGAGAAACCGTCTTGAACAAACTAGACTTTGGCATCAGTCCAGCACAGCAATTCCTACATCTTCATTCTCGCCCTCATGGATCATATGGGGTATTTTTTGTAGTGTACCTAGCACACAGCACCCCACAGCTTTTGGAGTTCCCTTCAAGTTGATTGCATTTTTCAGGCTTTCCCCTTCATCTTTGTTCAGGATACAAGTGAGAAAATCATGCTGGTTTTACTGGCATGCATTTCCCATCTTATTCCAGCACAATTTCTTTGTACAGCACTTCTATTTAACTTCATGGGGGGTGGTGGTGGTGAAATCTCTCCAACAAACTCTCAGGAATTTTACAGAAAAATAAGGCTGATGAAGTTACTGACTACATTGTCTCTCCAAAGTGCAGTTCTGAGATTTTAAAAAAAATGAGCACTTAGGAAGAGAAAGTTCGTTTAGGTCTGGAAGTCTGTTTTTGTGATTTTTCTCAAGGAAGCAGGGTTTTTGGAAAGCTACTAAGTTGCATTCAAAAAAAAAAAAAAAAATTCTCATTTGACTTCTGCGTCCTTTATTGAAGCATTTGACTGGAAGTGCCAAGTGTGGAGTTAACACATAGTGTGAGGAGCAAAGGGGAGGGAACACGTGCCAAGGTCACCTCCTCAGCAGTAGCAATGGCAAGCTTCACAGCAGTGATATAAAACCTCCCTCTGATACAAGATACCACTCACAGCTACTTTTTAAGAGCTATCAAAATCCAGAGCAGGCACATATTAATTAAAGTAGTTCAGAGAGATGCTCTGCATGTCTGTCTTGGCAGCAGGTGACTGAAGGGCACATAGCACATAGAGGAGCAAAATGTCCATGGACYGAGTTAGATAAAATATTTTAGTTTTTATCATCTCTGGGTTTGTCAGTGGGCAGCACAGATGGTTTCAGCTGGGGAGCCAGTCAGTGTGCTGCTAAAGAAGGCAATGTGACCTGTGTCATGAAGCAATGCATATTATAGGCAAGCTTTTCTAGCACAAATCTCCTTCGTTGACATTTAAGTCCATAACCTCCTGTCTTASCTAGACTAGAAAGCAGACCCCAAAAATCCCCTTGCTCTTCAGCACAATATGTTTCTTATTTACCTCTTTGTCCCTCCATTCTTTGTTTCAGCTAAACAAGACAAACTCAGWTCTTCTAGTCTTTGCTCATAAGCCACATTTCCAAACTGATGTCCCCTGCAGAGCACAGGACTCACCTTCCAGAGKGGCATATTCACACCAAAAGAGGCAGTGATGAGGACAAGGACCCATTCAGGCTTCCCTCTGCTCCTTTCCCTTCAAAGTTAGGGCAAGGCAGGCTGAGATACAAYTGAGGTTAGTACCCACTGGCTATGGCAAAAGTTTTTGCGTGAGCCCACTGACTAGACACAGGTGGCAGTGAAACACATCCAGCAAAAGATTAGTGGTAGCAGGAAGTCTTTCTGGTTTTAAGTGGTCATTATTCCAATCAAGTGAAATACAGATAACCTACCTTTTTTAGCTCTTACAATTATCTATCTGTAGTTACCTCACCTGCTGGCTTCTTTGTCCAAAATTGCAGCAGGCYTTACACACTCCAATATTTCATTGTGCACTGGAAACCTTGAAAGCAGCGGAGCAGAACTGGGGTCATGGAGCTAATGAGGCCAGAGCCCAGTGACATTAAGAGTCCCAATGTCCATTTGCAAGGCAGAGATAAAAGGGGTATTTGAGTATTCTTCTAACATTCACCATCACCCATGGTACACAGAAAATGCMCTTGAAGTCAAGTTTTCTCCCCTGTAAACACGAGCATCAAGAGACAGACAGTCTAGTCTGGTATTTTCCAGGGCTCTATAAGGATTACATAAGTTCCAATTTTACTGCTTGAACCAACTCTACTTCTAATGTGGGGAAAGTATCTGTAAGATGGAGCTGGTCTTTAAGACATGGGCACAGTGCTTTGAGACATGCAGCTGAACAACATCTAGCCTTGCTACTCATATATCACAGGAGAACTAGAGGGGGACAAAAGATAAAGCTTTAAAAACATATGGAAAACATTATCTGAATAGCAAAAATATGACATAAAACTATACACACACACATACTTACAGCTCAGATTTGAACTCTCCATAGCCCTGGCTAGACAAGTAGGGATAATGATTTTTTTTATTCATAGTGCATTGAAAAGGAATCTCACTCATATTTTCACACACCCCAGCAGTCAGTCAGTCTCTCTGTTTTTATTTATGGCTAAAAGTCCTGGACAGAGTCATGGCACAGAGGAAAAAGGAAAAGCAACAGGGAGATCTCAGCTGATGCAAAGTACTGTCTGACATTATTCAGAGAACRATCAATTGGAAACGACTTGCTGTTAATCAATGTGAAACAGATACATTTCAGATCCCCACAGAGCATGATACAATGTGAAGCAGCTTCTTGGAGCAGCAGGTTTTTTGTGAAGGGAGTTTGGACAGGCAGTTTTTCTCTTAAGCCTGCATTTCTGACAGCTGCCTAGTACCTTTTTCCCAGACTTGTCACATTCATGTCAAGATATATAAATGCCTTCTCCTTTTTCCTTCTCAACCACTGCACAATCTTTAAATTTTTTGAGCAAAGAAAGATAGAAGCCATATTTTCTAYCGTCTATAGCTGAAGTTTTTCCTGTACTAGGAAATGGCTTCTTGTTATCTGAAGATGACATCTCTATTTTACAGTAAAAGCCTCCATCCTCTTTTTTCTCYGTTCTCTTTACTCCCCCCATCTCAAAGCTGCACTTACCCAATAGCTTGCAAAGAAAAGTAATAAAAGTAAGATGGTTTTCTGTTTCCTGGCGACCAACACCACTGAGACCCCAGGTAGCAGCACACTGGCTAATTCAAGACAGAGACAACTTCCATTACAGTTAAGTGGCAAGGGAGGATGCAGCACTAACCTTGGCACAGAAAATCCTTGCCAGAGCTGCCTGCTCTTCATGGTAGAATTCAGTGATAGAGGACTCTGTTTTGAATATAAGGAATTATGTTCCATGCGTGTTTATTTGGCTTTTGGGTATTTTTTTTCCTCTTACTAAGCTTAACTACGTTGGCTCACTTGCATTACCCTCTTCACCTGTAAAAGCACTGAACAAAAAACCCTTGATTCAGGGCTAAAACAAGAGGGCTCACCSTGGCTCCTTTAATAACTCCCTGAAAAAGCTGTACATATCTTTGCATTTGTCTCAAACTACCTCTGCCTTTCTCCAGAACAATATACCCCACAGGGTGAGGAAAAGTCCTTATACCAATAACACAGTACAAAGTAGAAGAGAAAGAAAGGATTTTATAATGACCCCTACTCCCAATGAACATCAAAACGGGACTGAAGACGCTCTTACAGGTCTGGACTACTGTAGAGGCCCTAAAGAAGGAGATCAAGAAGCAGAGACAAGAACTGATTTGCTGTTTCAGATTAGAGGCACCTCTAAATCCGTACAGAACACTGCAGACCAGCAGGGGCTCCTGGCGACTCCTTGTTACAGAAGCTTCCTTTATACGTGCAGAAGACCCAGCTCCACAAAGACATTTAGGCATAGGGCCAAGGAAATGAGGCACTTCTCAAGGCAACCACATTGCCTTCACGGAAAAACTCCCACCAAAATCATGTTACAGATAATGCAGAGCTCAGATACTCCCTAAGGAGCCAGAGCAATAGAAATGCAACAGGAAGAGAGCTTCCCATCCCTGCTGTTACTGAATACCAAACAGAAAAATGTAAGCCCACAGGGATCTGTTGTCTTCAGTCCCGTCAGTCACAGATGTGAYAGCTRGGACCCTTAGAGACTGTCAAAGGARGAAAACCAAGGCACCCCRAATGCCAAGTCTGTCAGCAGCATAATTAACATGTCACGTATGGTCTGCTCAAAAGTACAGCACTTACTGCACCTCCAACAGACAATGCTGCTCAGCTGACAAATCCTGCAGCTTGCAATAATGTCTAAGTTACTAAACATTGTGAAAAAACCACAAACTGTTGTGTTTGGAAAGACAGTTTGTAGCCCATGGAGGAAAGAACACTAGCCTACCACAGGGGCCATGGCTACTCTCACTCCAGACGCGTGTCTCTGSAAATTTGTACCCAGCTGTATTCTTACAGAAGAACATCTGCTTCACATGGACAAAACACATGAAACCAGTAGGATGGAGGCAAGTTCCACAGGGAATTCATAAGCCAAGACAGGTTTGGGGATCTCAGCAGCTGGGGTCTGCTCCCCAATAACCTGCAAGGACCAGTTTAAGGCAAGTAGCCCCAAGCACCAGGTAAAATGGAAAATTTCTTTCCTCCATCTCTGGCAGTATACTTTGGACAAACTTACAAATGTGAAGTAACAAGCAAGAGAAAGAAAAATCCTATGTTGTGAAAGGCAGCCCATACAGAGAAACATTGCCAATTCTCCTCCTCCTCCACAGACAAAATAGATGTGCATGGGTAAGTGCAGGACTGTTGCAGTAAAGGTAAAACACATGGGGCAACCTAGATGAATGCTCAGGTTGTGAAAAGAATCTAAGGTTTCATTTGAACAAATGTAGATCTCTAGCCATKACTGACCAAGATGATCAGGCCAAGGACTGCACCTGAACTCACTATTCAAACATACCTTAGGCAAGGCATTGCTTGGAAGTACAGTATTGCTGCCAGCATGGGCCTCTTCTACAGCTGATCTCTGACACACGAATCAGGGAAGGCACTGGAAAGGCAAACTTGGAGAGTGAAATCCAGGTGCTACTATAAGGAACAATGGACTCATAAGGAGTGGGTAAGACACAAGGAAAGAAGAGAAAAAGCAAGCATACAAGAAAGGAAAAAATAAGTTTCAAAAGTGCTAAATCTGGTAAAAGAGTAAATTTTTATAGAATGTAACAATTAGCAATGGAGACATATAAGGAAATTTTATCTACAGAATAGTATAAAATTTAAAATAATAATAATAAAATAAAACCAATCTATTTCTGCATAATAAATATATTGCCTCCCCTCTTCTTTCAGACTGAATTATGCAAGTTAAGGATATCTTACAAACAACAAAGAACCTTTGTTTAGAAAATATTTGTGAAGGAAGTTTTCCTTGTTAGCTTCTATTTCTCAACAAGTGATTTGGAAAAAAAACCCTCTGCAATAATACCACCGATTCCTTAAAAACAGAGGGCCTGCAGTCCAATTCTTGTCTCACAACATTACTTTCTTGTCTCACAAACAGAAAAGACCTGACCCTGTGGTCAGCCAATYGGTTCCATTAAAGAGACCACTTTTATCAGGAGTTCCTATCAGAACAAAAAGAGAAAAAAACAAAGCAGAAGAAAGAGGTGAAATGGACACCTTGTACTCCTGATGACTGAAAAGGAGTTTCTGAGCCATGCAGAGAGCTCTCAACACTCTGATCACATGCAGACAGGATATAGCACTATCTGAACACATGCTCAGAATGCTTTGGAAAGAAATAGTTATATCCAAACTGCTGCTGTAGGCAGGAAGGTCATGCTGGGATTACAATCACCTGTGTGAATGAGCACAGAGACATACCGCATTTGGCTAGATGAGTTTTTGTTAAGAGTTGTCAGTGGTACAGGAAAAAAGCCCTTATAATGAAAATTATCTCATTTGCAGTTCTGTGATAAGTAGTATTTATCATGAATCTTTGATTCCTGATGCTGCTACTGCAGCTCCTCTGGGATGGCATTAATGTACCATTTCTCTCCATGGCTCCTCCTCATCTCAAACAGGATTTTCACCCGGCCTCWGAAATTTCTTGAATTATCTGTTAAGTTTCAGCCACAATCACAGCAGGTCCAGGATTCTGCCCAAATGTTATAATGAAATGTGGGTCAACTGCACTATACACAGTAGTGTGAAGTAAGATAAGGGTTTTACTGAAACTTCTTTACAGAGATGTATAAAAGTTGAGCGTATCTTCATCATTCAATAGAAGCACACTCATCTCATGCAATCAAAATTATCAGAAGTGATTTTACAGAAAGGACTACATATTTTTAAAATGTTATCTTTAACTAAGGTCAAGCACCAGACAAAAAACTGAATATTTGAGAAAGTTAGACAGCAGCACATCTTAAAAACAATAATTAGCACACACTAGCTTATATTTTCAAAGCATTTTACAAAAACATGAATTAATTAAGCCTCACAACACCCTTGTGAGATAGTTAAGTATTATTAGTCCCATTTTAGAGACAGAGAAACAGGCATGAAGAGAGTATAACCTGCTCACCACCACACATGTTGAATACAGGTACAGAACAACATTTTCCATTTTTTTCCATGTGTGATCTGATCTCTTAAAAACTGCTGGTCTGTTTCCTCTCATCCCTCTTAAGACACCTGTCCTTATTTCAGTCTGATATGAAAATACCAAGAGCTATTMATAGAATCACAGAATGGTTTAGGTTGGAAGGGACCTTAAAGAACACCCAGTTCCAACACCCCTGYCATGGACTGGGACACCTTCCACTAGACAAAGTTGCTCAGTGCTCCATCCAACCTGGCTTTGAACACTTCCAGGGATGGGGCATCCACAGCTTCCCTGGCAAGCTATTCCAATGCCTCACCACCCTCACAGTAAAAAAATTCTTCCCAGTATTTAATATAAACTTAGCCTCTCTCAGTTTAAAGTCACTACCCCTTGTTTTATCACTACATGGTCTTGTAAAAAGTCATAGGGGAGGTGCTCCAACCCTCTGATGATCTTTGGAGCCCTCCTCTGGACTTGCTCTATCATGTTGGTGGCCCCAGAGCTGGACACAGTATTCCAGGTGGTCTCACAAGAGCAGAATAGAGGGAAAGAACATCTCCCTTGATCTGCTGGTCATGCCTCTTTTCATGCAGCCCACAATGCGCTTTGCTTTCTGGAAAAGTTATCAACACATTCCAGGAACCTGARGTCCCCCATGAAGACCAGATCTTGTGAACACTAGGCTGCTTTTATCTATAGAAGGCTTCACCTACTCAGTTTTCCTGGTTGGACAATCTGTTGCAGATCCCCACTGTCACCTGTCCCTGCCCTCCCTTTAATCCTGACACGTAAGTTCTTGGTTGACTCCTCATTCATCCCTAGGCTGAGCTCCATGCACACCACATGGAGCTCTGTGCACTCCAGCTGGTCARTGACACAGAAGGTGCCAACCTCCTCCTTGCCACCTTCCTAAAGAGCCTGCAGCCTTCCATTCTGGCACACCAGTCATAGGAGTTATGCCACCCTGTCTCTGTAAAATTACGACAAACAAGCAGAATTAGGAAAAACATTTTTTATAAACTCTGTGTTACTGGAAGCTGTTTAACAAAAGATTTGACATAGGTATTTCCATACTGCCAGACTGTCASTTCTCATCAGGCACCTGCCACCAGGAAACTTGCTGAGGACTATCTGCAATGCTTGTACAGCTCAGAATCTGCAAAAAAATAAGGTTTCCTTGTTTCTGTCAAACAAGGGATCTCTCTGGCAGGGGACCTTCTCTAGGAAGAATTCATATGAATACAACTGCACTGAAAACAAACAAAGACTTTCATCAAGAAGACTCTCAAGGTGAAGCCAAGGGCATAAATGCATGTCAGAAAATCTGGAAACGTTCATCTATTGTGCTTTTGTTGCCTTTCTCTTGACTCACTCTATTATGAGAGATGGTCTGGAGGCATTAGACATCCTGGGGGCTAGAAAACAGTTCTTCRTTGTCACTTTGAGAAGACAAGTGCCCTTATTATCACTCTTGCACTGAACTCATGAGTGACAGACTAGGATTAAACTTCCAAACCACCTGTAAGTTCAATTCAATGGATTTAACTCTATAAACTGTCAACTTAAACTGTCGAATCGGGCAGATCTACTGCTGCCTTTTTGCAAACCCAGGCCACAGGTGTTAGTGGAGACATAGAAACAAACAGTCCTTCCATCTTCCATATGTAACTACGTATGTCCATTAGACACTATCCAGAGTCCAGGAATTTAGTTTCATGACAGCTTGATCTGAAGATCCTCCCCATACTTTTGGATCAGCTTCATGTGATTATGGTCCACTGACCATTGCTCTGGGAGGTGTTTGGGCTTCATGCTGTCCAAGAAATGCTGCCGCCAGCGTCTTTCCAGCTGCATAAGGGAGCGCAGGCCTCCTTTGGCACAACACTGCACCACCTTCAGTCCATGTGGCACGTAGCTCTCATTGCAGATCCTGCCAGGACACAAACACAATTTATTTTCACRCAAGCCCACTGTCAGACTCCAGATCTGTCTCCAATGAACAGCAAGACTCTGAAGATACTTTCTGCTGCAGAGTTTAATTACAGACAAACGTCAAGCTAACCAAGAGGGAGAGTTTTAAGCTTTGCTTCAATGCCAGACTGCTTTCTGGAACACAGTTAAGACTGTAAAGCTGTTTTTTCTGAACTGAGAAAGTGTTCTTTTACAGCAACACTAAACAAAGCTCTTAAGGTCCATTACAAGCTTCTCATGAGACTGCAAATTTCTCAAGGCAAGAACTGTATGACCCTCCAGAGCACCGAGGCTTGTCACTGAATTCCCTGCCTGGACAGGCTCTGAGTTATAGCACCAGCACTTCACAAACAGCAAGCATAACAAGGAGAAAGGACTCATTTCATGCAGAGACTAGATACTTGTTAAGAAAAAATATTTGAGGAGGCTTTGAGAAGTGCAAAAGAGGAGACTTCTGGAAGGACTGTCCTTCAGACTCTTTTCTTGATCTGTCCTTCAAAAGAAGTATAAAGGGAAGGGAAGATGGAGAGCAAGAACAGAAGACTGGTGAGGAGGAAGGGAAAGAGGGAAAGAAGAGCTGCAGTTCAYAGACCAGTGGTGGGTTGAAGGGAGACAGGTATAAACAAAAACAAAACCAGTAAGAAATTAAACATAAATGACTGAAAACCTTACATCCAGCCTACATGGCCTTGCTATACCTGGTTTCAAGACCAGCTGCTGCCTGGAGCATCTCTGGAGTGACTGTCTCTGTGTTATAGAAGTCCTTGATGCTTTGCAGCAGCTCTGCCCTTCGGGGGTCAGGCAGGCTGCCTGCATTCAGCAGGGCTCGTGCCCCCGAGCGCACTTGCCTGCGCAGAGGGTCCTCCAGGAGACGCACACCTTCCTCRGAGCCAATGGGAGCCCCAAACTCCTCGGCCAGCTGCTGCTTGAGGTGGTTGTCATAGTAATTGGAGATGGCATGGCAGGATGTGCAGAGCAGGAGCACATCATGCGAGTTGTGGTCCTTCATCTGGATAGGGAAGTGCCTTCGGTATTCATGAGGAACAACATTTTTCCTACAGAAGACAAAACAGACAGCTCATTGCCTTTATCTGGAGCTGCTGCACCCTAGTTCCTCCCCTTCCTGGCCCAGAAAGGGTCAACTAAAACTGAAGTCCAGGAGAACAAAGATTATCAAAATCAGGAGTCCTAGTACAGTAAATTATAATTTTTATTCATTTGCAGTTCTCTCTACAGGCATTTCTCTGCATTTCTCTTTTTCCCCCTTCCAAAAATTAATCTTTCAGTTGAAGATTCATACTGTAAAAAAAAAAATCAAGTGCTGCAGTATGAGAAGTATACTTCTCAACTAATCAGTAGCAGACAAAAAGATAAAGACAAAAAACTTGTTCTTTTTGACCTCACGARCTTTAGGCTCACCTAAACCTTTCAAAAATTTAAGGATTAAGCAGTGGAAGGAATAGTGCAGCTACTTTTGGAAGAGGATGCCACCCAGCCAGTGTGTGTCAGCACACTGCTGCCCTCGTCATTCAAACTGCAGCACATACATCTTTCATATGCTTTGCTTTCTCCTAGGACYAGTATCTCCTGCCTCTGAAAGAGGAAGGGCTGGTCCCTTCAGTGTCTCACATACAATTGCAGAGCATTTGAACAGTGATCCCACCCAGGATGTGAACAAGCACAATATTCCAGGCCACTAACCAAGCTTCTGGATGATAAACTAGATGCACACCTCAGTCCTGTTTTAAAAGATGCATTTTTCTCCTATTCACTAAACAGCTCACCGGATATAGGATTCTCTCTTGCCACATACGACACACAGGTTTTCTTTGACTGTCAGATAATAATCAACTTGAGACTCAGGACGTCCTGAAGGCTCAAACCGCAGCTTCACAACAAATGGGTCTGTGCTAACTAGCTCTAAAAGGATAAAGGCAAAGAGAAAACATTCAAGACAAATTTTTGTGTGAAAGCTAAAATAATGATGCTACAACATAAGAGTCATCCTAATGAATGCCAACAGCATTTCCAATAAGAAATACAAAAAAAATTCATGCTCCATTATCTAAGAAACAAGAAGAGAGAGGGGAGAGAGAGA